GCCTAATTTAAAGATAAGGCAGCATTGGATCTGGATTGTAAGGAGAATAACGCTGGAGTTGGAAGAGGTGTGTCGCGATTCTGTAGGTTCGTGGATCTGAGTCGTGTGGCGAATCGCGATTTCGGTTTCATATTGCATATCGTTAGAAGCCCCAAAGTTAAGTTCTACTTAGTTATTTTGGTGAAAGTAACTCAAAAGTAATACATGAGTAATGTAACGCATTACAATTCTGAGACAGTAATATTGTAAGGTAGTGAATTACTTTTAAATAACAGTAACAATACCTAATGTATTACAGTTTGGAAGTAACTTGCACAACACTGGTGTAAGCATACATCCAATACTTAGGTTCAAAATACACTTGTATGTGTATATGTGGGTGGATGTATGTGTATATGGGTATTTGTGTACATGTATGAATGTATGTAGAGATGTGCGTATGTATATGTGTACATTTATTTGCGTATATGTATGGGTGAGAGAGTGTATGTATATTTATATATGGCTTGTGTATGCTCTTCATGTTTTTTAGGCTTATATTGATCCTGATATGTCCTGTTCATATTTTATCATATTACTACTGTATTTATTAAATGTGTAATGTATTTTGTACTGACTTTTGCATTTTAGGCAGCCTGCTAAGACCTGGCTATGGGACAGCAGATGGAAACTAGCACGCGTAGCTAACTCTGGCTTGTTTACAGCATGTAATGTTGTTGATTAATGAGCATTGTCCCTATCAAATAAAGAAATAAAACCGTGAGAAAAAGGAGAGTGAGAAATAATCAATGTTCAGAAATGATTAATTATGATTATGTTTTGAACTTTAGCTGTGTTTTGTTGTGTTTGTTGTCAAACTCAAAAATGACTATTTTTAGTAATTAAAAAGACCCTATTTTATATGAAAAAGTTAATAATTGTATTTTATTGAGAAAATATTTTACTTTGTCTTGTATATTTTTTGTCATATGTCATAATGTGCTCCACCATGGGGCATGTTGTCTCATTTCACTTCCATTCTTTGGGGATATAGCAAGAAAGAAGTACATACTGTATTAATAAAACAAAACCACGTAGGCCTAATTGTACTAGACATGTTTGAAATACATGTTAGAAAAAATAGATACTCTGAACTCTAAGTAGGTTTACACACACTGAGAAAGTCAAAAAGTGTTAGGTTGTGAAAAAAAAAATCATCAAAATTAAGTGCTTGAGAAGCACTTCATTCATTGAAACAATAAAAAGTATCTCAGTGGAGTTTTTCTGCAGTGCATTCATAAATGACTAAACCACTGCGGATCAGCATGAGGCATTAGTTTATTTTATTATTTGAACTGACATCATGAACATTGTTACAAAAGACGAAGTGTTTAAATAACATGGCAAATGAATTTAAATGAGATTTTAAATAAAGTCCATATACCATTACTGTTGCTTTAGCTCTTTGTTCATTCAAAACATATTGATGGCTCTGCGCTAATAAAAAATAAAAGTAAAGCAGTGCTTTCCTCTGAAAAGCAATTTCGAACACATTATTCAGAGTTTGTTCATAAACGTGCCGTTCTGCAGTGGAAAAGCCAGTTTATGGATTTGCAATAAAGCTGTTTCAGTAAAACACACTCCATGCTGTTGTTGTCTGATGGAAGACAGTAGTAAACTTACACACAGCGACATAGAAGATTATTATCAGACTGTTGTGATGAAAGACAGAAGCGAAAAATAACATCTCTTTACAATCCTGCCAACTCAACAAAGAACATTTACAAAATTATGATTTTTTTTTCCACAAACCAAAACAAAATGTATGTACATTTGTAAAGTGTGGTAACACATCACAGAAGGGTCTCATTAGTTAATGCATTAACTAACATAAACTGTTCATTAACCTTTGTTAATGTTGGCTAATAAAAATTAGGAGTAACAGTATATTGTGTCATGATATATCGCAATACAAAAATGCAACAATATCGTGGATAGTGGCAATATATATTTCAGCCAAAATGAAAATGAAAAAATGTACGTTTTCGCCCACAAATGTAACACCAAATTTAGCATTTTAATCAACATTTTTCGAGTATCTCGTGAGTTCAGTATTGTGATGCTGGGTTGTTTCAACTAGAATTTGGGTCAAATATGGAAAAACCCAAATGTTGGGATAAAAGTGTAATTAAAAAAAATTCCAGTCGAAAGTGAAAGTTGAAGTTGGGTTAACATTTTAAATGACATTTTTAACACAACATTTGGGTTTGTCCATATTTCACCCAAATTTGGGTTGAAACAACCCAGCATTGAGTGTATTAAATCGTGACATGAGGGTATCACATCTGTCCAGTAGTTCATGTGATTTCAGGAGAATTAAACATAATTAACAGATGAAACTTTTGATGTTTTAAATGCTTTTTTTTTCATTGTTAGTTCAACAAATGTACCTTCACTGTAAACTGTTACTGAAAATGGGCCGTTCACACACTCTAAAAAACGCTGTGTTGTTTCAACCCAAATTTGGGTCAAATATGGACAAACCCAAATGTTGGGTTAAAAATGTAATTAAAAAAATGACAGCTAAAAGTGAAAGTTTAAGTTAGGTTAAAATGTTAACTTTTAACTGTCATTTTTTTAATTACATTTTTAACCCAACATTTGTCCATATTTGACCCAAATTTGGGTTGAAACAACCCAGCATTTATTAGACTTATATCGAATCGTGGCATATCGGATATCGTTATGCCTAATAAAATACATCTGTTCAGTAGTTCATGTTATTTCAGGAGAATTAAACAGAATTAAAAAATGCAACTTTTGATGTTTTAAAGGGATAGTTCACTTTGAAATTAATTTTTGATATGTTTTAGCTTACCTCAAGGGCATCCAAGATGTAGGTGTCTTTGTTTCCACAGTATTTACAATTTTGACATTTTTCAGTCAAACTGTTGTTGTCTATCAGTCATACACTGGAGGCTAAGGGGGTCCACTAAAAAGCATGCACAGAGAATTCAAAATTAAACATGATTTTATGACTCGTAAATGTAAGTACACATTGATGGCCTAAGACACGAAACGAGTGGTTTGTGTGAGAAAATGAACAGTATTTATATCGTTTTTACTTCGTGTAATCACAGTGATGTTCAAGTGATCTGAATCAGTTGTGCAATGTCCAACTGAACCGGACTGAATCAGTTCAATGTTACGCCGGAAGTGATCGCTTGCGTGTGACGTCACTCAATATTTACACGGAGATTTCAGAAGTTTTACCTTTTACTAAACATATTTAGATATACTGAAATCGTCTTCCATTGCGGTTTCCCGTATATCTAAATATGTTTAGTGAAAGGTAAAACTTCCGAAATCTCTGTATAAACAAAGAGTGGCGTAGGCGCGCAAAAATGTCAAAATTGAAAATACTGCCGAAACAAAGACACCTACATCTTGGATGCCCTTGAGGTAAGCTAAAACATATCAAAAATTAATTTCAAAGTGAACTATCCCTTTAAATGTTTTTTTTTTTTTTTTAGTTTGTTCGACCAATTGTTAGTTCGACCAATGGACCTTTACTGTAAATTTTTACTGAAAATGGGCCGTTCACACACTCTAAAAAATGCAACCCAAATTTGGGTCAAATATGGACAAACCCAAATGTTGGGTTAAAAATGCAATTACAAATGTACAGTTGAAGGTGAAAGTTAAAGTTGGGTTCAAATTTGAAATGACATTTTTAACCCAACATTTGGGTTTGTCCATATTTGACCCAAATTTGGGTTTGTGCATATTTGACCCAAATTTGGGTTCAAACAACCCAGCATTGTTTAGAGTGCAAGAACTCTGAACAGATGAAGTGCTGATGGAAAACAATGCAAGGTTTCGGTCAATTTTAAAAGTTGAAACCGTGATTATCATGTGTAAACCGCAGAAGCGTGATATGGGGTCTGTCTGGTGCATGATTACATAAGAAGTGATTACAAACCCGCGCAGTGGAATGAAAACCATGAGAATGGAGAAGAATGCAGGACAAAAATATAAAAACTGTTAAAAACAAATGCATTCTGTGTGATCCGGCCTTAAACCACAACAGATAAACTTCACATACAAGAAAATCCTGACAACTTTTTCTTTCAATAATTCACAATTATTCAACACTTCTGCAAACCTTAGGCTCAAGGATAAAAGTAAAGACCATCCAAGCTTGTCGGTAAGAATAACACTGCTTTTGAGAAGAGCTACTACATATAAAACTGCAACACATTCTTAAAAATGACAGATCCGCATAAGACAGAACGTTATGAGTGAATTAAAACAGTGTTATTTGTATTAAACTGCACCAGTACCGTATGTGCCATTGGCTTTAGTTCATCAGTTGTAACAGTGATTATTAGATCAATATTTTTATGGTGTTATCTGTAATAGCTGTGATCTTTGGCATGCATTCAAAATTTGATGCCAAGCAATGATGTGTTCACAAAAGTCCAAAGCCATTAATAATATTCACTTTGCAAGAACAGTATTTCTGTCACGGTTTCAAGATCAAGATGCATTTACTTGAGAAAAACAAAAATCATCAATTTTAACTGAGTTTGTGCTTAAAACAAGAACAAATATCTGACGTGTTCAAAGGGAAAACAAGATGAGTTTGCCGATTTTTAACGTCATAGTTTCCCCTGTGAATCAAGGTTATTTTTCTGACTCCACTGACAGATATTTGTTCTTGTTTTAAGCACAAACTCACTTCATTTTGATGATTTGTTTTCACTTATTTTGCTTCTCAAGTAAACGTATCTTAATTTAATATATACAGGTTAAATTTGAAAAATTTGAATATGGTGCAAAAGTTCATTTATTTCAGTAATTCAACTTTAAAAGGTGAAACTAATATAATATATAGACTCATTACGTGCAAAGTGAGATATTTAAAGCCTTTATTTAATTTTGATGATTACCTTTTAAGTGGAATTACTGACATAAATGAACTTTTGCACGATATTCTAATTTTTCGAATTTCACCTGTATATATATATATATATATATATTTTTTAAAATGAAAAGCAAGGCATAACTACTATGTAAGAGGATGGCTTGCTCTTCTTTGCTGAAATGTCCTTGTAAATAGCACTGTCACTTTTAATACATCATGCTATGGTTTTCTTCACTTTGACAGCAATAATGTACAAAATAAAAAAGTAATAATATACTGGGATAAAAAAAGAGCATAAAAATGTGAAGTAAAGTATCATAACCCAAATATAACTGTGCAACACGTTTGTATAAAACATTAATAGGTCCTTTGAGGATATTGAAGGACATTCAAGCTGCTTTAAATTCAGATTTGAAAGCCAGGCGATTGCAGGGCGACGCACTTCATCAAAGGTGATGTGTCTGCGTTAAAACAGTCCACGGGTCCTGAGTGACAAGTGAATGGCACTTGAATTCATACCTCTGATATTTAAAAATAAAAGCCTCGCCAATTCCGCTCCTGCCCTGAATTCCCAGGAAGTTTTCCATCTCTCCATGAAGGTGACAGAACAGCCTCGTATTCACATGCTCCTGTTTCAAGGAGTGTTATCTCAAATGAAAGCTGCATTATACGCAGAGCAACGTCACGGGCCGAAGAAATAATGCTTTTAAAGCTTTCGGGGATGTTTGTGGAGGACTAAGAGAAGTCCATCGGGCGGATCATCATGACAGTGGATCGGAGAGAGTAACTCGGCCCTTTAAAATAGTGCCACTTGATTCCATTGAATTTTCCGACGTGTTGTCCTTGTCTGTAGTAAACGCCGTTCAGGTTGGATGGACCACAGGCATCGTACCACCATCCTAAAACACACACATACACACACATTTACAACCGTTAATGCAGTTCTGCAACAAATGATGAATCTTGTTTTCCAGAAATGACTGAAAATATAGTCTTGTTTTGTAAAAAAAATAAAATAAAAAAATAAAAAATAATTGATTGATGATATTAGGTCTTTTTTTTAAGAGTTTTTAAATGAAGTGAGTTTGTGCTTCAAACATCAGTGGAGTTGGATATTTTTCTGACCACTTTTTTTTCTTGTTTTAAGCATAAAGTCACTTAATTTTGATTATTTTTCTCCTGAAACAAGACTTGTCATTTAGCTAGTCAGGTAAATGTATCTTGATTTAAGAATGTTTAGATATTTTGTAATGCAAAACAAGACAAAATCACTGAGTCAGAAAAAAACAAAACAAAACTATGAGATGAGTACGAGACAGCCAATCAGAAGAGAGTGTGGGCGGAGTCTCTCTGCAAGGGCACTGCACTCATAACCAAATCAATCCAGAGTCACAGCCAAGAGAATAAAAAAAAGTATATGGGTGGAGTCTCTCTGCAAGCACACTGCACTCACAACCAAATCAATCCGGAGTCACAACCAATTTGTCTATCAGTCATACACTGGAAGCTAAGGGGGTCCACCAAAAAGCATGCACAGAGAAGTCAAAATTAAACATGATTTAATGACTCGTAAATGTAAGTACACATTGATGGCCTAAGACACAAAACGAGCATTTTTTGTGAGAAAACGAACAGTATTTATATCGTTTTTACCTCACAGTGTAATCACGGTGACGTCCAAGTGATCTGAATCAGTTGTGCAATGTCCAACTGAACCGAACTGAATCAGTTCAATGTTACGCCAGAAGTGGTCGCTTGCGTGAGACGTCACTCAATATTTACACAGAGATTTCGGAAATTTTACCTTTTACTAAACATATTTAGACATACCAAAATCGTCTTCCATTGCGGTGTCCCGTATATCTAAATATGTTTAGTGAAAGGTAAAACTTCCGAAATCTCTGTATAAACAAAGAGTGGCGTAGGCACGCAAGCGATCACTTCCGGCGCATGCACAGACCGAAGCGCCTATGCCGTCAGATCATTTTGTCATGGGTATGATTACAAGAGGTAAAAACGATATAAATACTAGGGGTGGCACGGTTCACAAAACCCACGGTTCGGTTTGTATCACGGTTTTAGGGTCACGGTTTTCGGTTCTGTACGGTTCTTGTTATTTTTTCTTTTAATCTTTAACACTCCAGAAATGTACTTCAGCATGTGATATATAGCTTAATTATCCACAATTTAGGATACAGTATTAAAAAAATATATATTATATTCATGCAATCATGCACAAACTGAATTTGACTCTTTGACTTTAAGCACATTTTGGGACTATCTCAGAGGAAAGCTAGGTGAGATTTAGATACAGCAAGAGAGAAGAAATTGACATGCTTTTTGTTTATTTGGCAAAAAAAGGAGATTGTGTATCACTATCTCTACAAGAACTTGTGTGCATTTTTATCACATAAATCTTATTTACACAAAGAAATTAACTTTCATGTATCAACTGCTAACTTTTGTAGCTCTTACCAAAATTCTATCTTTTAAAAGAAAAAGAGAGGAACTCTTAAAACACTGTCTTTTAAATGTCAATATACATGAAACCTCATTGCCTATAGATAATTAAGCTATAGCAATAGCAAAGGCATAAACATAAAGTGAAATTGAAATTCAACCTCAACACAAAAACAGTATCAACAATGCTTCTATTCCCAAAATGTGAGGGTACTTTTTTTCACTTGAAATTAAAGTGCAGGATTTGGAAACGTATGACTGAAGCTCTTATCTATACATAAAGTGCCACTGTAGTTAAATTAAAATATCATAAGATGAAATCCAAAATGTTCCCACACACCGGACTTATACGACGCTGGCGCATCCTCCAACTCCCTCATCTCTCCCACTTGCCATTTCTCCGCGTGCCGTGACCTGCAGCGCTCCATATTCCACTTTTACTGGCTTGTTTATTAACTTGAACCGGCGCTGCACAGAGCGATCGGTAATGACATCAAATACCGCGAAAGTGATGAATGCATACGGAGCCGACTCGCGCTAGATTGATGTTATTCACCGATCGCTCTGTGCAGCGCCGGTCCAAGTCGAACAAGTTTATGTCGCGCGGAAAAAAAACACACGTCACATACGGGCACGAGGTTACATTGCGCATGCGTCGAACCGTGAGACGCACACACGCTCCGAACCGAGACAAGCGAACCGAACGGTTCGGGTGTTTTTTCATGTACCGTGCCACCCCTAATAAATACTGTTCGTTTTCTCACACAAACCGCTCGTTTCGTGTCTTAGGCCATCAATGTGTACTTACATTTACGAGTCATAAAATCATGTTTAATTTTGAATTCTCTGTGCATGCTTTTTAGTGGACCCCCTTAGCCTCCAGTGTATGACTGATAGACAACAACAGTTTGACTGAAAAATGTCAAAATTGTAAATACTGTGGAAACAAAGACACCTACATCTTGGATGCCCTTGAGGTAAGCTAAAACATATCAAAAATTAATTTCAAAGTGAACTATCCCTTTAATATCTTTCATCATTTTGCTTCTCCAGTAATTGTATCTTGATTTAAGAATGTTTAGATATCTGTACTGGAAAACAGGGCAAAAATACAGCGTAAGAACATAATTTTTTGCACTCATCTGGCCTTCAGACACGTACACACGAAATGTGCCCACATGGTGCCCCTTTTAGCATGTCTCTTTCCCATAAAGGACTTAAGGTTCACTTCACAGGGACAAATGCCAGAGAGATCTGTGCCATTTCACCAGCCGCCCGCGAGCCAACATCGCTGCCCTTCGTCACGACTCTCTCTGACACAGTAAACTGATTGGATGCTGATTCTATTTGTTACTATGCTTCTCATCTCAGGCCTTTATCCGGCGAGTGCCTCACTGTGTTTTATGGGCTTGTTAACCACACCGAATAACAAAAAAAATGAGGCAACAGAATGATAAAAGTTTGATTGCATGATATAAACCAGAACTGGAACCCATATGTCTTTCATTAAAGCACTTGTAGAATTTAAAGGGTTCTACTTCGAGACATTTCCACTGTTTTTTTCATTACAAACTCATTAAAAATCGTTCACTATGACACTATTCTTTTCCATTATTTGGATTGCACAAATCCCCTTGCATACACCAGCATATTTATGCATGTCACCCTACTGTAAGGCTCATATTTATTCTCATCCTGATATTAAATATCTCAGAGATGAATCACTGTCAGGGCCCTGTTTAGATCCTGGCCACCAAGGACAGAGAAGGTGATGGCAGGATCTCTCTCAGTGCCTGCTTTATTAAATGATCAAATAAGAGCTTTCTGAATGAAAAGCATAAGCTGCCGGTGGTCTGAATCCAGGAGGAGAGACTATGCGAGTCGTATACAGATAGTTGGTGCTCAGCCCATTCTGCTAGACTCCTCACAGTCCACAAAGACCTCATTACTACAGTACGTGCTCAAGCTTCTTGCACTTCCTCTGCCAAAAAGAAAGCATGAGGTGTACACAGACACACACTGTGTTTAGACTGGATCCTACTGTCTGCCCACTTCACAAAGAAAATGTAGTGAGTAAAATTACAACAGCTATTTAAGTAGTTTATTTGATTTTTTTTTTTTTTTTTACTGAATGATGCATGTAGCTCAGATTCTTAACTCTTTCCCCACCAGTGACAAGTTGTTTCACTGTTATATGGTGGTGATGCTGTTACGCATTCAAAGTCACAGCCAGGAGAGCGCGTGGACGGAGTCTCTGTGCAAGCACACTGCACTCACAGTCAATCCGAAGAGTGTGGGTGGAGTCTCTGTGCAAGCGCACTGCACTCACAGCCAATCAGAAGAGTGTTGGGCGGAGTCTCTGTGCAAGCGCACTGCACTCACAGCCAATCAGAAGAGTGTTGGGCGGAGTCTCTGTGCAAGCACACTGCACTCACAGTCAATCAGAAGAGTGTGGGTGGAGTCTATGTGAAAGCACACTGCACTCACAGCCAATCAAAAGAGTGTGTGGGTGCGGTCTCTGTGCAAGCACACTGCACTCACAGCCAATCAGAATAGTGTGTGGGTCGGGTCTCTGTGCAAACGCACTACACTCACAACCAATCAGAAGAGTGTGTGGGCGGAGTCTCTCTGGAAGCACACTGCACTCACAGCCAATCAGAAGAGTCTATGGGTGGGGTCTCTGCGCAAGCACACTGAAATCACAGCCAATCAGAAGATAGTGTGGGCGGAGTCTCTGTGCAAGCACACTGCACTCACAGCCAATCAAATTAGTGTGTGGGTGGGGTTTCTGTGCAAGCACACTGCACTCACAGCCAATCACAAGGCCGTGTGTTGGTGGAGTCTATGTGCAAGCACACTCCACTCAGAGCCAATGAGAAGAGTGTGTGGGTGGAGTCTCTGTGCAAGAACACTGCACTCACAGCCAATCAGAAGAGCGTGTGGGTGGAGTCTATGTGCAAGCACACTCCACTCAGAGCCAATGAGAAGAGTGTGTGGGTGGAGTCTCTGTGCAAGAACACTGCACTCACAGCCAATCAGAAGGCCGTGTGTGGGTGGAGTCTATGTGCAAGCACACTCCACTCAGAGCCAATGAGAAGAGTGTGTGGGTGGAGTCTCTGTGCAAGAACACTGCACTCACAGCCAATCAGAAGACAGTGTGGGCGGAGTCTCTGTGCAAGCACACTGCAGTCACAGCCAATCAGAAGAGAGTGTGGGCGGAGTCTCTGTGCAAGCACACTGTTCTTTTCAGTGAATCAAAAACATACAGTATGACAAGTGCATTGATTACAAAATTAATAAATCTCATCAGTCGATTCTTTGTGATTCCAAACCACTTGAATCAATTTGTTGTATTAATGTTTAATCTGAAGTTAATACTCTGTCAAGTCCAATTTAAAAGAGATTAACTCATCATTTGGCAACAGACAGCTGAGCTGAGGAGAGTGAATGACATGATTAGTATTTACAAAAGTACTAAAAGAACCGCTAATAGAACTGTCCCTGAGAATCTGTTCCCAGCATTCACTGCATATCATTAAACAGATGTACTGTAGATTGTATTTCTCCAGTTGTATTTATCACTAAAGGAATGTGAATCATGGGTAACTGCAAACGGAACAAGATTGTGTTGCAAAAGGTGTTTAAATGAGGAGTGTGTGTCTCACCCCCGCTGAGCATCAGCGCACACTTGCATGTGCAGTTGTCATTGTCCATGTCTTTAGTGCTGAAGTCAGTGCCGTGGATCGCCAAACTGCTCTGCCGGCCAGCCGTCCCACTGTGGCTCTTCAGGAACAACCTGAGAGAAGAGAAGAGAAGAGAAGAGAAGAGAAGAGAAGAGAAGAGAAGAGAAGAGAAGAGAAGAGAAGAGAAGAGAAGAGAAGAGAAGAATAGAGAGACTTTTAAACAAGGAGGCCTTGGATTTACTGCCAGGAACATCCATGAGTGATTTACGCAGAATTCCTTCACACTCATGAGCCGCATTTCCATTCTTGGGAGTTAGCATTTTTTTCCATGGTCATCTCTCTTCAGTGTGTAATGTTGCTGTTTGAGCATGAGGAAGCTCCAGGTCTTCTCTACTGTATATCAGTGTCAGTGTTTCTGAACTCCTGAAACGCCTCCATTGTAGTCTTGAATTTCTTCTGGGAACGAACACGTCACAGTATTCCTCATAATAATTAACACGCAGAATAAAGGGGCGGGGCCTGGTTGAGTTAGTTAGTAGTGTTTTAAACTGGCGGTTATGGGAAGGGACGGGACATTTCCCAAACACACTCGAAGCGCTCGACCAATCACAACAATCAGAGCACAGTGTGCTTTCAGAAGGAGGGGCTTCATAGAGACAGAAAGTCTGTTTCCTGTAAAACACCGTAACTCGCTGTTTCACTATCATTCGATGCATCGTTGAATAAATCATCTAGCTCATCACGACTGTTTCAATGAAACTGTACTGACGCAAATTGGACGTTCAACCACGTTGATGATGTCATGAAGGAGTAATAACGAATTTTAATGATTTTAATTTTAATTTAGCTTTATTCTAGATTCAATCATAGACTCATTCTTACACACTAGAGCTTGTTCACACAGGCGCACTCTTCAAAAATGGTGCTGTAAATCTCTTGACAAACTCAAAGACGTAAATGACATTTGTATGTGTTCTAAATAAAAGACACACGTTGCACTGAATGTCTGCTTGCTTATTTTGCTCAAGATCAGGATTTATTGAGTCCACATGTCATTAAATAATCAGACTCTTCTTAACCACAGATCGAGATCTGTCACTCACACACACATCTCTACAATGATCTTTGCTTATGTTTGTTGGAACGATGCTTTCGGGAAACACAGTCCTGACAGTCCAGTCCAGACTGGGAAGAGAGGATCCGCAACAATGGAAAATTTGAGGAAAATAATCAACATTCAAGCACGAAAACCTGTTCTAGTAGAGCCTGAAAAATAAAAGGGCATAAAAAGGGCATTGGCTGGGAAAGCCCATACCGTGTAATCCAGAAACCACACAGAGCGTGTAACTCAACTCCATCCATCCACACTTGAGGATTTGAACCGCAAATTCACAATCCTCACTTCATGCAGTCTTGGGTTCAAACGCTTAATTCTATGCAGCATTGACGCCCAGAGTTTGGTGGTTAAAGGACGGCCTTTGATTTTCCCATCTTGCTTCATTGTGTCACCAATGGTTCTGCCCAAGGTCTTAACCTGAAGGTTATTACCCCTCCGACAAGTTTTATTTTTATCCAAAGTGTCATTCTTTAAGCCAAAAAACTAAACTGCATAAGCATGCCAGCAATGAAAGGAACACCAAATGAAACATGTACAGCCCCACAAAATCATTTCCTGAAAGCCATCGCCACAAATAAGATCAGACAGTAGAGATTGAGCTTTATAAATCTCTTCTTAGATGAATCTTGGAAAGAGATTTGGAAAATGTATTGTATTTTAAGGGATGTCCAAAGAGGCCAGTGATGCAACAACAGGCATTAGAGGCCAATCTGTGATTCTCTCATTGTTAAGTGGGATTTTTTCCCTTTTTTCAATGTTTTGTTCCACACACTTCATCCATCTCACAGACGATCTTGTAACACACTGCCGAATCACTTTAAAGCCACCCACATCAAATTTTCCTGCAAATATTGTTCGGTGACATCATACTCATGAAGATGAAGTGCATTGTTGCGGTCTCTAAACAAAGATTAATGGACTGGCTGTTCGCGGTTTCTGCGTATGATCGATGCCAAACTGATGTTTCTGTTCTTCGCTGACAGGCTATGTTTTTACATCCTATATGAAGACACAAGTGCAATACTGACTGTTCACAAAGAAAGCATTCTTCACTTTCTGTCATACAAAATGTCAAACTTGTCAACACTCTACAACTAAACTTCCTCGGGATTTGAACAGCCGACGCAAACATGTTGCTTCATAATTTGACTTGTATCTCTGCATACATAGTGCTTAGAATAATTTTCACTTCTTCATTGACATTGGTTTGTATGGAAGCTTGTTTCTGCCACTGTGACAAATAAAAAAGGTAATTGCGACTTTTTTTATTCACAATTCTGACTTTTTTTCTCACAATTGCGAGTTAACATCTTTTTCTCAGAACTGCGAGATATAAAGTCAGAATTGCGAGTTATAAAGTCGCGATTGCGTTTTATAAAGTCAAAATTGCGAGATATAAAGTCAGAATTGTGAGATATAAAGTAAGAATTGTGAGATATAAAGTAAGAATATAGCGAGATATAAAGTCGCAATTGTGTGTTATAAAGACGCAATTGGGAGATATAAAGTCAAAATTGCGAGATATAAAGTCAAAATTACGAGATATAAAGTCAGAATTGCGGGAAATAAAGTCAGAATTGCGAGATATGAAGTCAGAATTGCAGGAAATTAAGTCAGAATTGCGAGATATAAAGTCAGAAATGCGAGATATAAAGTCGCAAATCGAGGGCTTGGAGCCAGAGGGGCGTAAGTGGGCGAATATGAGTTCTTTATATCAAAATAAAGGTATCAATGAGCTCAATCCAATGGTGCCAAAAATACCTATCTAAGATCAAACTGTATTGAATAAAGCAACAAAAAGGTGTATCTGACATGTTTGATTGTTTTTATTTTATGAATATGTTTTAGAACATGTTCATTGTGTTAATATGCCATACATTTTTTTACTTAAATACTCCTTCATGTAAGTATGCCTGTGGTTGCAAACTTTGTCATTTAAGGTTAATAATACAGGTGATTGAAGTGTGGAAAGTTTGAAAAGTTTGTTTAAATCCACTTACGCCCCTCTGGTTCCAAGCCCTCGAATTGTGAGATATAAAGTCAGAATTGCGTGATATAATGTCAGAATGGAAAGATATAACGTCATAATTGCATGATATAAAGTCAGAATTGCGAGATATAAAGTCAGAATTGCGTGTTATAAATCAAAATTGGGAGATATAAAGTCAAAATTGCAAGATATAAAGTCAGAATTGCGAGATGTAAAGTCAGAATTGTGAGATATAAAGTCAGAATTGATTGATATAAAGTCGCAATTGCGAGATATTAAATCAGAATTGTGAGATATAAAGTCAGAATTGTGTGATATAAAGTCAGAATTGTGTGATATAAAGTCAGAATTGCTGGAAATAAAGTCAGAATTACGAGATATAAAGTCAGAATTGTGAGATACAGTATAAAGTCAGAATTGATATCTTTATATCTATTTATAAAGATTGATATCTTTATATCTATTAATTGATGTCTATCGACATAATATCTCACAATTGCGACTTTATTTCTCATAATTGTGACTTCATATCTCGCAACTGCGACTATTTCTTAAAATTGCGACTTTATATCTCGCAATTGCGACTTTATTTCTCACAATTCTGACTTCATCTTGCAATTGTGAGACAAAAAGTCGCAATTATTTATTTGTTTATTTATTTATTTTTCAGTGGTGGAAACAAGCTTCCATAGGTTGGGGCGGATACCACATTTAATTTATATATATATATATATATATATATATATATAAATGTAAATTATCAGAATATTTTTTTTTACATTTTGCATTATGTTTTTATTAACATTAAAATTAACATTAAAAAAAGAAAAAAATATTGTTACAATTTCAATTAACTGTTTTCAATGTGAATAAATAGTAAAGTGTCATTTATTCCTGTGATCAATTTATCATCATAACTCCAGTCTTCAGTGTCACATGATCCTTCATAAATCACTCTAATATGATGATCTGATGATCAATAAACATTTATGATTATTATCAATGTTAAAAACAGTTGAGGAAACAGTGATACATATTTATTTTAGGAATCTTTGAGAAATAGAAAGGTAAAAAAAACAACTTTTGAAACTGAAATATTTTGTAATATTATAAATGTTAAAAAAATAAAATAAAAAACAGCACACTTTTAAATGTTAATGTAAAATGATAGATATAGTGCTTTTATAAAGTGTTTGCCTTGAAAAGCAAATATCTTTATAATTTCTCTGTGATATAAAATCAAGGCTCTCACACACAGAAACACATGAACAGCTCTCCAGCTTCACGTAAAGGCCGATTGAATGTTCACAGAAGAGCATAGAGTCATAATAGGCTCACGTATTGTGTTAATCGTGCAATTTGCACCCGAAAATTATTTTTTACGTGCATATGATAAGCAGTTTTCGTGTGCATATTATGTACTATATTGCACACGACTTATTCTACCCAAACGTATGATGCACCCACACCACTACTGAACCTACCCATGCGTATCATATGCAGGTAAAAACTCATTTCACATAAAATGCACGATAAAAATATGTGTGCTATAGAGGCGCTTTACTGCGTCCGGGTTCGGGTTGTATATGCAGACTTGTTGCACTAACCACTGCTGCGTGTCACGATGTGGTCTTCGTTTCAGTCTGAGCTCAAACATCTGTACGGTCAACAGAACACAGTTCATCTCGGGTTCTTCTCACCAGCCTTAATGAACTTTTGCTGCATCACTCCAAGCCTTACTAGGAAAAGCTGTGATGAAAACGGAGATTTATTTGGTGTTTCACAACAGCCCATGGGGAAGCGTTCTGCCGTCCGGCCTTTTTATTTTCCTAAAATGAAATGATAGCAGTTTGGTAACGTTCCTCACCGGATGATGTTTATGCAGAATAAAGAAGGACGTATGGATGTGTTTTTTCTTGTTGAAATCTACATTGCTTAAATGAAATGAAGTGTTTGTCAGATTCGCATGTTCCACAAACCTAAACTGTTGTTCGTTCGGTAACACA